GATGTATTATTTTCTTTATCTATTGTTGTAGTCTATTGGCTAGGATTTTGTTGTAGATTTTTGCATCTATATTAATGAGGAATATTGGTCTATAGTTTTCCTTTTTACTGGTGTGTTTGTCTGGTTTTGGTATAAGGGTTATGCTTGTTTCATAAATTTAAATTTGGGATGATTCTATCCTTTTCTGTGTTCTGGAATAGTTTGTGTAGCAGTGGTGTCAGTTCTTCTCTGAAAATTTGGTAGAATTCTCCAGTGAAACGATCTGGGCCAAGGCTTTTTTTTGTTGGTAATTTTTTTATGACCTTTTCACATTTTCCAGCACACAGCAACTGACCATTAACACAGATGATTACATAACCCAGAAACCAGCCCAATTATGGAAGTATCCAAAGTAAATAAGCCTACAAGATTGTAAACAGGGAACCAGAGACATCAATTGCCAAATGAGGACAAGTACAAACCAAAAAAAGGAAAAATATTGTGTAGTTACAGAACTTCTATATGGTGAGGAAGTCAAGACAATTGCAAGATAGAACATATTGTTGTAAACTTGGAAAGAAAATCATATGTCACAGGACACCCTCAAAGAAAAACTAGAATCCTTTACATGAAAATAAAAAAGAAGACAAGCACAAATATTTAGCAAATACTGAAGTGATAGCAACAAATGGAGTGATAACATGATTCATAAACAAAACGAGTTCAGCACAGAAAATTATATGGAACAAATAAATTAGTAACACCATGAAAAAACACATAGCAAAATGACAGCAACAAATTCATACTTGTCAATAATTATACTGAATGTCAAGGGATTAAATGAACCACTCAAGAGATGGAGAGTTGCAGACTGGATAAGAAAACATAACCTATCAATATGCTGTCCTGAAGAGACACACTGTAGAGAGAAAGGCACAAATGGACTGAAAATCAAATGTTGGAATAAGATACATCAAGCAAATGGCACCCATAAAAGAGCAGGAGTGGCAGTATTAATTTCTGATCAAATTGATTTTAAGACAAAAAGCAGCATAAGGAACAAGGAAGGATATTATATATATGCATCCAATGAAAGAGCCCCAAAATATATAAATCAGACTTTAACAGAATTGAATATACAGTTTTAATATAAACTCTTAATAGCAAGGATCTCTCACATAATTAATTACACTTGGTAAAATCGTCCAATCTATGTAATACTCCTTTCCTGATTATAGTAACCTTTTAAAATCATTGAGCAGGGGAAGTGGGAAATATGGTCCACAGCCAGTGTTTTAGAATGCTTGGTTTTGCTACTGGAGCTTGCAAATAAGCATTGATAAATGGGTATACTCTGCCTTCTCACCTTCTGGTAGCATGTATTTATCTGGTAAAGTAAGATTTTCTCTACCCTACTTTTCTCTTCTTAAAACATTTTCCCTTAGCTTTCAGAACCTGATGTTAGAGGAGCAGCAGATAATTGGAGGCAGGGGTTTAGGAAGGAGGGTAATGAGATTTGAGGACTTTTTTGGCACATATAAGAGGTAGTATTGTCTATGGACGTGGGTAGTTGAAAAGAAGATTCTCATTTGTTGAGGGGGTGGGAATTGGAATTGGTCATAATTATAGATTTTGAGGCTTAATGATGACCTTTCAGATCCATTTAACTCCCCTACATTTCACACCTGCAGAAGTGATGGCCTAGAGAGATTAAATTCATTTACTCCAAATCACCCAGATGTTTTTTAATAGCCAAGTAAATAGCAGGGCCATGGTCTACTGATTTTATATTCTTGTATTTTTCATTATGCTGCTCTGTTTGCTTTTTTTTCACCCCCTTGTTATAGCTTGGCTAAATCAGATACTGCCTGCAGATCAAAAGCTGGCTTATTATCCATAACAATATTTGTTTCTTTCTGGTACCCAGATGCATTAAAGAAAATTTACAAGGCTGTGAAGTGCTACTATTTCCAATTCCTTTTTCAAAGGAAGAAAGGTTGTAGATAAATTTGCTTACTTTACAATAGACTAGAGATATAGTCTTTCTTTTTTTTTTTAATTGTGATTTGGGTGAAGATTTACAGAGCAAATTCACTTTCCATACAGCAGTTCACATATACTTTGTCTCATGTCATT